CTTGATGCAATATAATTCAAGGTACAAGATTTTTGGTCATCACAGTTGTTCACCTTGATGCAAATTATAATTCAAGGTACGAGGTTTTGGTCATCACAGTTGTGCACCTTGATGCAAATTATAATTCAAGGTACAAGGTTTTTCATCACAGTTGTGCACCTTGATGCAAATTATAATTCAAGGTACAAGGTTTTGGTTATTACAGTTGTGCACCTTGATGCAAACTATAATTCAAGGTACAACGTTTTTGGTCATCACAGTTGTGCACCTTGATGCAAACTATGATTCAAGGTACAAGGTTTTGGTCATTACAGTTGTGGACCTTGATGCAAATTATAATTCAAGGTACAACGTTTTGGTCATCACAGTTGTGCACCTTGATGCAAACTATAATTCAAGGTACAACGTTTTGGTCATTACAGTTCTATAATTCAAGGTACAACGTTTTTGGTCATCACAGTTGTGCACCTTGATGCAAACTATGATTCAAGGTACAAGGTTTTGGTCATTACAGTTGTGGACCTTGATGCAAATTATAATTCAAGGTACAACGTTTTGGTCATCACAGTTGTGCACCTTGATGCAAACTATAATTCAAGGTACAACGTTTTGGTCATTACAGTTGTGCACCTTGATGGGTCAACAATAAGGGTCTTTTGAGTGGGTAGTCCCTATTGGAAGGGAAAGGAAGTTAGATGAAAGAAGGCAGGATAGGTTTGCAGTTACAAAGTTTCCTTGTCTAGTACGCAGGAACTCGGGCAAACACAATCACCCATATAAGAGACCAGGAGTAAGGGCCTTTATGATCAGCAACCCTGCTGTACTGCAGAAGTTCTGATAGTAGGATTTTACACTAGTATTCAAGGTGCATGGTTTTGGTCATTACACTGGTGCACCTTGATGGGTCATGTGTAAGAGTTTTACAAGTGGGCAGTCTCTATTAGAAAAGAAAGGAAGATGGACAGGAGAGGAAAATGCAGGTTGGGAAGTACAAAGGGTCCTTGTCTAGTATACAGAACTCAGAAAAATGAATTGTCCATACAGCAGGCCAAGATTAAGAGCCTTCATGATCAGTACCCCTGTTGTACTACAAAAGTCTGGACAATAGGATCATATTTCAGTGAGATGAGCCATGTGCAGCTATGCCCATTAGTATTCAAAGTGCATGGTTTTGTTTATTACACTGTGTACTTTGATAGGACAAGTGAAATGGGCTTATGTGTGGGTAGTCCCTGTTTGACAGGAAAGGACGATGGAAAGGGAGAGGGGCACAGGGCAGAGTTAGGGGTTGAGAAGTTCCTCAACTAGTACATAGGAACTCAGGGAGATATAGTCACCCATATAGTAGGCCAAGATAAGGGCCTTAGTGATTAGTACCCCTGCTGTACTGCATAAATTCTGACAGTAGGAACTTATTGCAATGAAATGAGCCATGTGAAGTTATGCACAGTAGTATTCAAGGTGCAGGGTTTCAGTCATTACAGTTGTGTACCTTGATGGGTCAAAGAGTAAGGGTCTTCTTATGAGTGGGCAGCCCCTGTTGGAAGGGAGAAGGATGGATAGGGGAGGACAATGCAGGGTTGGGAGATACAAGGGTCCTAGCCTAGTTCACAGAACTCTGAAAAGCAGAATCTTTCATACAACAGGCCTTGATTAGAGGCCTTCATGATCAGTACCCCTGCAGTACTGCAAAAGTTCTGACAACAGGATTTTACTCCAGTGAGATGAGTATTGTGCAGTTATGCACATTAATATTCAAGGTACAGGGTTTTGGTCATTACAATCGTCCACTCTGGTAGGTCAAATGTAAGGGTCTTTGAGTGGGCAGTCTTTGTGGAAGGGAAAGGAAGATGGATAGGGAAGGGCAGGGCACAGTTGGGGTGTGAAGGCTGTCTACTATAGAGGAATTCGCAGAGTTACCCATGTAATGTGCCAAAATTAGGGCCATAGTGATCAGTACCCCTGCTGTACTACAAAAGGGGCTGAGAATGGGATCTTATTCCAATGAAGTCAGCCATGTGCAATAATGCACATTAGTATTCAAAGTACATGGTTTTGGTCATTACAGTTGTGCACATTGATGGGTCAAATGTAAGGGTCTTAAGAGCAGGCAGTCCCTTTTGGAAGGGAAAGGCAGATAGATGGGGAGGGGAGGGCAAGGTTGAGGTATGAGAAACAAACACAATTACCCATTTAACCGGCCAAGATTAAGGGCCTTAGTGATCAGCATCCCTGCTATTTGGCCAAAAGTGGCTGGTAATAGGATCTTCTTCCAAAGAGATCAGCCATATCTAATAATGAGCATTTGTATTCGAGGTTCATGGTTGTGGTAATTACAATTGTACTCCCTGACTTTTCAAGTACTTTTCAAGGGTCTTAATGAGTTAGGAAATCTTAATGAATTGCTAGAAGGAAATGAAGATAGAGAAGGGAAGGTAGGGTATGGGTTGGGGTCCCTTGTCTAGTATGCAGGGACTCAATCACCCACAAAACATGACATGAATAGAGAGGCCTTAGTGATCAGCACCCCTGCTGTATTAGTTAAGGGGTGGATAGGACAATCTTATTCCAATGGTGAGTCATGTACAATTATGCACATTATTATTACAGGTGCATGTTTGATTATTACAATTGTGCACCTTGACTGTTCAAGTATAAAGGTCTTACGGAGTGGGAAGTCTCTGCTGGTAGGAAAAGGGAGAGAATGGGGGAAGTGAGGGCAGGCGGTATTGGAGGGAGTGTTCCTTGTCTAGTAAATAGAAATTCAGAAAAACATAATTACTCATATAAGAGACCAAGAAGTAGGAAGCTTAGTGATGAGCACCTCTGCTGTATTGCAAAAAGGGCCGAGAGGATTTTATGCAAATAGAATGAGCTATGTGTAGTTATACACGTTAGTATTCAAGGAGCATGGACATAGTCATTACCATTGTGTATCATGACTGTTTCATTGTAATGGCCTTATACGCTAGGCACTCCTTGCTGGAAGGGAAAGGAGGATAGATGGGGAAGGGGCAAGGTAAGGTTTGGGATGGCACACAGAAACTCGGACAAATAAAAACACTTATATAACAGGCCGATAATACAAGTCCTATTGATAAGCACCACTGCTGTACTGTAAGGTGAGTATGAGGGCAGAATCTTATTCAAATGATGAGCCATGTGGAATTACATTTAGTATTCAAGGTGCACAGTTGTTATTACAATGTGGACCCTGAATTTTCAAGTTTAAGGGTCTTACGGAGTGGGCAGTTCCTGCCTGAAGAAAAAGGTAGAAGGGTGGGGGCAGGTTCTTTTCCTAATGCATAGAAATCCAGACAAGTATACTCACAGGCTCCAAAATGGGCACTTAATGGTTGACACACCTGCTGTATTTCAAACAAAGTATCAAAGGGAAAGATACTAATTGTCGTTACGCACATTAAAAGCTGGAGAAAGGAGCTTTAGATAAATAGCACCTCATGCAGTAAACCTAAGAAGGTATGAAGGGGTCAGAGACAAATGTATAACTTGAAGGACCAGTGAGGATTGCAATTATGCAGTATTTGGAGTCTTAAGAGAAGGGATTTATCTTGGTTAGCATCCTGTGTTTTGAGAAATACTGGAGTTCTGACCTGAAAGGCACAGTTTTGGACAACTGAGAATTTGTGCAGAACAAGGAAGATTGTGCACATTAACATAAAGGTCTGAAGTAGTAGCCTCCTCCTGTTAGAGAATATAAATAGAGCTGTGAGGTCTTTACCTGGTTTATATAACTGGAGAAAATTTAAGTATGCATGGCCAGAGTGAGAATCTTACCTAGTGAGAAATCCTTGCAGTAATGCAAACAGAGCAACGAAATGGGATCATACTCTTAATATAAAGGGGCTTAAACTACTGCTAATTATGTGGTAGATAGGGCAATTTTGTTGAAGGAATCAGCCAACAGAAATAATTCAGGTGGGTCAAATTCAGGTGGGTTTTAAACCCTACTATAATCAAAGAAAGCAGAATACTAACTTAATGGGAGGAGCCACGGACAATTGGAAATATATGTAAGAGTCCCAACCGAAGGACTTTAGGTTGCTAGCATCCCTCGCTATAATATAAAAGGGGTGGGATATTCCTTCAAAAAGAGGAAGCACGAATATTGAAATTTTGCACATTCATAGCCCCAAGGAAGGTAACAAATGATGTAGCTGATTACAATTATGCATATTAACAATAAAAATGGAGTCTTAGTGGTTACCACTCTCAGCTGTAATACTAATGAAGATGATATATTAATTTAATAAAATGAACAATTGTAAATATGCAGATTAAAGTGCCAAGTACCCCCTGAAGTAATGCAAAAGGAGCCTAAGAGGATGGGATTCCAGATTAACAGAAGATGTAGACAACTGCAATTCTGCACAACAATTTCAGGACAAGGTACCTTAGGTAATTAGCAACCTCTTGATACAAAGCAGAGGATTAAGGGATCTTCATATAAAAGATTCCGTTTTAATCCATTAGGATTATGCTTGTAATAATAAATTTATTATTTATAGTGGTTCTTTTCTGTTAGGCAGATACAATTATGATAAAGTACATTAACATTTAAAAGAGAAACTTTGAGAATGAGCACCCTTACTGTAGTACAAACAGGGTGGAAAGAGGTATTACTCAATAATTCAAGAAATATGGTCTCAGGTAGTTAGCACTGCCTCAAAGTAAGCAAGGATGGAGGCCCTTGTAGTTAATGAACCAATGAAATTACTGTTTTGTACTTTAATCAAGAACAACAGTACTCTCCAAAAAGGCAAAGCAAAAAGGGTGCCTTTGTTTAACAGGGAAGGCTATGACAACTGAAACTGAGTACATTAACTGTCCAACAGAAGATTTGGCTTGTCTGCCCCTTCTGATGAATCTAAATGGGGTTTGGACTGGGTTCTAATCCTGTGCACAGAATATGGACAATTATACACTCAGTGCAAAGTTTTAGTTGGTCAACACAGTTCATGAGAACAGACCATTGAGACTGACTATTGCAGCAATGACAAAGAATGGTTTTCTCCTGCCTTAAGGGCACAGGACTGAAAAGATGAGTAACTCAAACTATGCACAGTATTTAGTACTTCTCTGATATGAAGCTCTTGATTAACATTTTCTAACATTGACATATTGTGAAGATTTATCACGTGTGCATTAGCTGAAAATGGTGAGGTGGGCAGATTGCCCTGAAAACTAGCAGCGCTAGAGATAGACAGGACACCTCAGTCTAACAAGATGAGTAATGGACAATTTATTTTTGTCACTTAATCAATGAAGATTGGAATAACTCTAGGAAGAGAAGCAGGGGTGTGGAGGGGGAGTTGGACCTGGGGCTTGGGGTGGGAGATCAGAGGGCTGGGGCTGGGGCAGGGACAAGGGGCAGGGTCATGGCTGGGGGGGCAGGACTGGGGCACTGCTGGGATTAGGACTGGGGAGGAGCTTGGTGCTAGGAAGGCATGAAACCACTGAAAATTGAAATATGGTTATTCATATTCCAATGTAATA